AGCTAAGCAAGTACATCCCATCTTTGTTTTTACTAACCTTCAACCTTCCTACTTGGTTCCAACCTCTTTCACCGTTACACTAATCAAACCATTACCTAACACTGTACGTTTCGGTTTGGGGCGGGCCACAGCCGTAGTATCGTACCAATAGAGGTCCCACAGCGAATCCTTGCAATAGTTGGCAAACCAGTGTCGAAGTACTGCCATTACAGTACAGTAGAGATCACAATTTGAACCATCCACCTCACTTCATATTACTCGCTTCACTCCGCAGTGCTCACTTTACTCCATTAGCCTACCCACGAAGTGACTGCTTTTTATATGAGAAGAATAAGTTTTCCATATCACTACATTTATCATAATCACAAACCCGGACGGACAGACCGACAAACCGACATACAGACAAACCGACATACCGACATACCGACAAACCGACAAACCAAGTTACTGCTTTATATATAAGAAGAATTGCCACGGACGGGCATATACATTTTGTTGCGTTCCCAGCGTAGGGGCTGCGCGCGCCAAAGCAACATCTCGTGTGGCAAGGGGTGGAGCGAGCGCCGCGCAGGCCTCCGATTGGACCCTCATGCTAATGCCGCTCTTAAGCGCGGCGAACCCCGATGCCCATCTATGGCGAGGAGCAAAGCGTCGCCGCCGGCGCGATACGCACCAAGGAAAAAACACTGTTTTCGACAGCCTATTCGTTGAGAAGCTTGGCCATCGATCAATGGTTAACAATTGGTTGAACCGCTTCACTGCAGGACATACTAGCTTTTGATGTAACGCAGGCAGACTCTCAAATTTTGTGGGACAAGAAGAAACACACCCACTATGAGTTGCTTAATGTAGACTAAATGGTCACAGCTATCGCTCTTTCGCTTGCTCTTGAACTTTGACATTTGTCCAACGCGCTTACGAAAAGGCATATAGAACCACCACTCAGATACCAGCGGAACGACAATCACGTGGAAAATTTGCATAAAACACTCGTCAAAAGTTCACCGTTCTTGCTGGGTTCCGAGCTTTCCATCAGTCGTAATCCCGGAACGAACCCTCTTTAGATGAGCACATGCACCGCCTACTCGAGATCCCCTTTTGAAAAAGAAGTTCGTTGCTTTATACATTCTGAAAACGGCAGCCAATGATTTCTTTGAGTCACGGATTCCTGACTTCTGCACAAGAGGCATCAGCGACCAGCTCAAAGGATAAGGGAAGATCTTAATTTCTCTGACAAATATATTTCTATGATTTGAATAATTTGTGATCGATCTGGAAAATTCTAGAGATGAAAACAAAACAACTTTCTTCTGACGCAGAACTTTCTCGCCAACTTACTAATAAAAGAACGTTCCCGATTCGGTTGAAGGTATTACAAAGATATGCAACAATAACAATCACCAAATAAAGGATAAAAAGGGTAAAGTCTTGGGTCGTTAATCGATCCCGTCTGGGTACGCGCCCACGCATTCAACTTCCATTCAGAATCGTAGTGGCGTATTGAATGCCTACGTGGCCTATACAATGATTGCGGTGGCAAGCCGATGTACTAGTCAGTGCTTTTATCCTTCCAGACGAGTCTGAGACCAATTAATCCATCTCGGAGGGATGGAAGGCTTGGTTGGTCTAGGCGGATATCGATCCGGGATTCGAACCCGTGATCATGCGCGTATGAAGTGTGCCACTAGCCACTACACTAATTCCCCCTATCACCAAATCAATAAATAAATAAAAATAAATAAATTTCCAGAATTATATTTGACTGATTACTCCTGTCTTTAATTGTGAACAATACAACTTCACCCATTCCTTTTGTAAACTTATCCAAACCACAAATAAGTCTAGGAGAAGGTGGCTACGTTAGTTCTCCTGGTGAAAAGGCGAAACTAGCCATTCTCAACCTTGTTTCGATTACTTTTTTTGCCGTGTTTGTTTATTATTTGATATGCTCTATGGATTTTGTTGAACTTTACTGCATTATACATCTCATCTTCGAAAACCACTGCAACTTATTGGTTAGTATCCTCCGATATAGGATATGAAATGAAAGGATATGAAATCTAACGTGCCGAGCTTACTGCATGAGTAAAACTATGAATATTTCCCCAGCTCTCAAAAAATGTCGTAAGTCGTACTACCTGTATGCAGTTCACAATAATCCATGCCAAAAATAAAACTCAAAAGTCGATAAAAGATCAACCCTGTAGCGTCCTATCAACAACGTTTTTAAAATTGGCCCTAATTTGGCGCAATACTGTTCAACCGTCTTCAAAGAAAAAGAACACTTGGTTGGGTTCACGAGCGAGGATACCGATATAGAATCAATTTCTGTCACGCGTACTTCCCTACATCTGTCTGTCTAGGCCTGAGTAAACAAAAAGAAGCTTAAATGGTTACCAAATGGTAATAATTAATTTTGTCGTGCAATGAGAACTTGCAGAGATCATGTGTTCTTGTTGCACCTCGGCCCCTCAGACTCCTTGTTGTTGCTGTTGAACCTCGTCTTACTTAACTTTCAAGAGATGACTGTCTTCTACTTCGCGAACCACCTTTTACACCTCATGCATGGCCCGAAACTAATCCAAATGCGCATGTCGTTTGTACTCATCGTTCTTCAACTAATCCTTTGTAGATTTACGGTGGAGCATGTAGCCAATGTAAAGTCAAAAGGAATCGGTAAGGACCATTTGACTACTATTAGCAGAATTGAAAATGCATGCAAAGGTAATGTATTTAGATTATGAAAGTGACCTAATAGATATTCTGCTGAGCAGCTCTTGGTAATCATATTCGGAAAACTAAAAAGACACGAACGTACATAGAGAGTCGCGTCATCGAAGGGATTGGCATCACCATTCCGAAAAATGAGTTGGCCTAAAACTTCAAGAGATGTCGTTGGCCGATTGAAGCACGTCTTTGTAAAAGAAATCAATCAACATTTAGTTGTTAAACGACTCAAGTTGCTTTGTGACCGTCCCCACTTTTTAAAAACTTGTCAAGTCGATAGTCTAAAGGGATTGATAGTACTGTCACGAATTGGATCCTTCTATTACTGGATAAGTTCCAACAAGTAATCCTACTATATATAACGTGCTAATGCCTGTGTGTTTGTGTGTCCGACCGCAAATTCATACCTAACGTCCCCGTGGACCTAATGCGTTCGAATTCGGTAGGGGTACTGTAGGCAAGATGTGAACTCTTTTGGTGGGTGGCAGGACTGGACTTCGCCGTCAGAGGCGCGTTTGCGCGAAATAAATGTGAAAGAGTAATCACTCGTTACAAAGGAGTAGTGGGCCAGTTAGCTCATTGCCAAGCCACCCGACTGGTAATAGAAATAGCGATAGCAACTCACACAGTCAGATATCGACTGCAGCTACAGCACTAATGAAAATAAGTGCCCTCTAAAGCGGCTTTTTGCTTATTAATGCTACATTTCTGTAGATTCCTCAAAACCCAAGAGTAGAGTCATTAGAGTTAATAAATACAATTTTCACAAATGCAAACGCTTCAAAAAGAGGTACCTAACGTTATTTGACGTCCCATACCATCCTCATACATGATTACAACCAAAGATGGCTGTAGATAATTTTGTAAATACCAGTAGTGCATTTGGACTTCGCAAAATGGTCCTCTGAAATAAAAAAATCAAGTCGAATTCCCTCATATTGGAGTGTTTTGACTTTGATTGGGGACAATCTCCCATTCTTATATTGAGCATGTTATGAAGCCTCTTTTATAGTAAGCGGCGAAGAAGAAAAAGGAAAAAGTTGCGAAAAAATCAAACATCATCGCAAGAAGTTTGGTGGATCAGTGCTCCGCGAGGCCTGCGTATTTCCAAAAGAGTTTTATTATGAAATCGAAATGAAAACAACTAGCCCCTCCTGTAATTCTCACTTCGATCACTTGTATACCAAAATGATGTTGATCAATCGATGCCGATCAGTATCGATCTGTGATTTAATGAGTGGCTTAAACACACTCTTTTTTTCTAGCCAGAACGAAATGCGGCAGGCGTTAGTTGGGCGTTCTAGCCCGTCACAAAAAAAGCAAAAAGCTCCGTGACAGCCGGGACATCCAGCTGGTAACTGTGTGTAGGAGTTCTTGCGCTATAAAGGATAATCTTGCGTGCTAGTCTATCAAAAATGAAACAAAGAGTTCTCCACCATTTTTCGAACATTTTTTATGGCAACAGTGACCAACTTTCGTACCTCAGACAACCATTTCCGTCTAGATATGAGAACAGCCGCATGTCCGAGATGTAGGGACCGTTGATCTTTAAGAGCCGATGTGTCGGAAATTGACGAGCTACAACAATAAACTAGTTATTCGTCAATGGTACAAAATACATTGAAAAAGGAGTACTCTGTCTTGTGTTCGTTGAATTCGTTCAACTTATTTTCAGTTTCAGGTACTATTATTAGACCCTTTCGGGAGCGGATCATTCGCTCGAATGGTTCCTTGTTTTTGTTGATCCCTTATCGTTCGCACCCTTGTCGTCTAGCATTTCAGCTCAAAAATTTCAAAACTGCTCACTACCTTGATCATCTTAGCAAATTTCGATTCTTTATTACTTAGTATGGTACACCTAATATAGCGAAGTATAGCTATACCCATGGGCCGACAAACGAACCTGGGCAGCTCGCGTGGCAGGCGAGCATTCTACCACTGATCACCGATGCACCAAAGTGTGGTGTGGTTCAGTAGCTTTTAATGATAGCTGAGTAAAGATTCAGCAAGTAAAATAGTAGGTGTGGATGTTACTGCAATGAAAACACGGATTAAAAATAATAAGATTTTTCCCAACAGGATACACGACCTACGTCTTGCCCTTACCGTTACTAGAAGGAGGAGTGAGAGCCCCACTTTTTGGTGGTCCGCTTGACTCCCCCCCCCCCGTATCAATTACGGGCGCCTCTAACTTGAAAAGTCGTCCAAAACTGTGAGGACGATGAGAGATGGGCATCACCGACTCATTGACAGAATAAACGCTCTACATGTTTTCCTTTCTTCTATTCTTTCTCAAACATTGTTACTTCCTTTAACCTAATAAATATATAACTCCACCTCAATCACAACCTTTTAACAAGATAAAAGATTGCAACACTACACTTGAACAAGAGCAGATCAACCCCCTAACAGAAGCTTTCGCTCAGTCCTATACACATTCCAAAACGTTAAGGTAATTTGCAGAATGATGAACTGGGTCTCATCAGGAAAAGAATCGCGTTCATGTAACTTCCCCAGTAGCCTCCAATATTGCACTCAAAAGCTAACAATGAAACACCAACGGTCACTGTCATTTTCATTTCATCACCAGTAACGATGGCGGTCCATCGTGGTGTGGCACCCATAAATGGCCTCTCACCAAATCACTAGCTCGAGGATGAAAGAAAAGTTCATACAGAATTCGGAATACTTCAAAGTATTACAGATGACAGAAAACCATTTCAAGAGATGAATGATTCTCAGGGACCATGAAAATCCCTTTCTTATCCCTGTCATACGTATACTCATTCAGGGCATCCACCGAAGTGGTCGGTGAAGCGATGGGATCAGAAGGGATAAGGTTAATAAGGGGTACGTGTGTGGTGCGGGAAGAGCAGTTAAATGAATAGGGTTGTGTCGTTCACACCCTAAATAGATGTACAAATCATTCAGCATGTAAGACAGAACTTGGAAGCAGGCAGCGGTGTGAAATAGAAATGGATTGAGACATGATTTCAAACTGGAAGCTGTTCTTAGAAACCAAGGGGGGAGAGGGATGCTCCTAGTTTTTCCCTTCGGATTGTACAATATCAGATTTCTCCAGACAAATAGAAACACCCGTTTTTATATCAGTTGACTTCTTCAAGTCATTCTCATACAGGAGGCTTCACAGGATTCCTCATTATTGCCACGATACAAAACAGAAGTTCAACGCAAGGTGGAGGTATGTGACAATACAAAAAGGATTCTTCGCTGTGAAGCGTTTTCTACGTCTTTACCATTGAAGATGAAGTCCACTAGCGCTAAAGTCATGGACCTTACAGAAACGATTACTCTACTTTAGATCTAACTTTCCATTTAAAACCCCTTATCGCGTCATTGAACACTAAGCGATACACGCTTTACACAGCGAAGCTATGCGAACAACAATGGACGTTGTTACCGATAGCAATGGCATGAACCCAACTCGAAAACATGCGAAAAGAAACAACGACACGCTCAATGACACAAAAGAATCTTTTACGCTAACTATTCAGTTCAATGCATGCTTGGGCCGATTATA